GGTGGCAGGCTGGTTATACGGCGATAAAGCTGGGCTTGTACAGGTGCGCGGCACAGGTACACCAGCACTCTGAATCGGGAACTAGCGGTGCAGTGAAACCCCGTCACAAGCGACAACGATGACCGTTTTGGTGATTACACGCCATCCACGGCCGAGACTTATCGCTCGTTAAAGATTATACGGGCTTGCCACTGCACGGCCAGTTGAAAAAGACGAATTCGCTGAAAACGCCGTACAACCGGCAACGTTTAATTAAACAGTAGCCAAAGCTGTTGGAAACCTTCGAGCTCGATCTTGTTTGCGTTTGCAACGGGATCGATCCATCCTTTCACATGAGCTAGCATAATTGCGGGCAATTATTTCATTTGGCTTCGAAATTCTACTCCGATGTGTTTATGGTAGATCGCATTTATGGATGGAGAAACGTGTTTATTCGTATATTCTGTCTCTAAGTAGATCTTTTATTTATTGATTTATGTATCATTATTTCTTCTTTACGAGACTAAGATCCTCTCAGATTAAGGTACTTGTAGATAGAAGGAAAAGGTTGATGTTTGAAGGTTATCAATTAGTGGGTATAATATATTTCGAGTTTACTAATTGCCAGCTTGCCAATTATTATGTAGGTATTAAAACGGAAAATATTTATTGTAAACACTTAATGGATTTTATTTGTTTTATATCGTGCGAAATAGGCTAAGAGTGTTATTTAACCTGTCTTATTTAAAGTAATAATATTTTTTAATTATTTTTCATTGCTAAGATTTATTAATAGAAGTATATCTGTTTAAGATTAGTATCAGGAAGATAAAGCTCTGATGTTTTTAGTGATAAGAATGGGACAACAAATTTTAAATACATTAGACAACGATACATTAGATATGATTCATATTAAATTTCATAGGTGTATAGTATTCGATAAATTATTGCCTCGCTATAATAATGTTAGCGAATTGTTTGGCTTTTTAATGCTAAAATTATTCATCGGTCTCTAGTTCGTTTTCTTTCGTCTTAAGCTTTCGTGTTTAAAATTTGTTCATTCTTAAAAAATACTGATAATATTATTATACTACATCTGTGATGTAACATGAAGATTGAAAAAATATCTTTCAAATGGAAGTGCATACATTCTGCACAAATGTGCTTTATTTATCGTTCCAATTATTACAAGCCTGTTAAATTTATCGGCAGACAGAGCTTGTTTCTCAAAACAGTATTAACATAGCTGCATCTGAGCTGTGTCTACCGCATTCACAAATATTTATAACGAGCAATTTGGATCTCATTTTGCGATAACAAGCCTCATCGTTCATCTGAACTTCAAATCAATACCAATATAATAATGACAATATCATAAATAACACATCGGGCAATTAGGTAGAATCGTTTGCTCAAATGGTTTTGCACATCTGCGAGACACTCGTATATTAAAACCTTGAATACGCCACGTAAATTACATCGCCTGGGGAAATATCGCCATAACAGGCATTTCTGTAAGCTCTGCCCTTTTTATTCCTTTCATAGCCCTTCCAAATTATTCGAAAACCTGGATCCTTCGATTCCGTTAAACACCATGTGCGCATAACTTGCCTCAAATTTTTTATTTTTTTTTTTTATTTATTAAAATTACAATCAATTCTCGCGTTGAGAAGCTTGCCTCAAATGACCGCACATTTTTATCTTTCGTAAAGACTTAGTATAAACCACGTGTATCACGTGTCGTAAAGTCAGATACACCTACAATTTGGTTTGTCAGACAATTCCTGTCGACATTCTTGATAAATGATTTATGGAACAGTCGAAAACTCTCACCGGAAGTTCTTTACAATTACTCGGAACACAATTCGATGAATGAGCAGGCCAGGTAACAGAAAATTCTCGAGTGCTGTCACCCAGCTGGGACATTCGATAGTGTCGCATTGTAAACATCATTGTCCATGGACTGCCATAAACGACGGATAGTCCGTTTCGTTTTCATCGGACTTTTCTCGGCTCGTTTATTTTTGCATGACAATGTCATTATGTACGGTTGGCGAAGATCAACCGATATCTTTTCGTCACGCCATAGATACCCCCATTGTTTCTGACACTGCATAAGGCAACGAGCCGTTTTTTTTTTTCTCTGCTCTGGCCAGTCCGACCTCCTCGAAGGACGACCCGTTTCACCGACCGAAATGAGCAACCGGCTGTAAAAGTGGACGTTGAGTCACGTCCTCTTTGCGTGTCATCTTCTCAGACAATCGCGTTTCACCCCGTTGTATAGCATTGTATACCAGTGGCGCACACCCGAGCCGGAAAATTCGCCCAGGAGAGAAAATGATCGTTGACAGCTGGACCGGCGCAAAAAGTGTTGACGACTGACACCTGCCGGTTTCCCGTGTGCCAGAACCGATGGAAAAAAGGGAACCAAGCTCGCGGTCCGTGATTTTCATCGCGTGGCGCTCTTGTTGCGTTCTCGAAGGACACCCTGTTTCACGTGTGGAAGCGAGGTCTGCTCCAAGTGACTTCAAGTGGAGAGGAAAAAAACGACGCAAAAATTATCGATTCGATACGGGAGGAACGGGATACTGTAGCATCATAAGAAGACACGTTACTGGAAATAATCAGGGCTTTACGGTTTCGCGGGAAAATTCGAGGGAACCGTAATGATGGTCAAGCTCGTACAGGTGTTGAATTTTAAAAGGCTGATTGAATTTTGTTTAGGAGGATGTAGGGTTTAGTTAAGATTGGATGGTTAGAATTTAATACAGGTTATTGAGGATGTATCAAAGATTTCTTTTTTGTTTCTGATTGATAGACCGATGTTTGAGGAAGTTTGAAGTATCGTAACTTTTGTGTGTGAAATTGCTAGGAGCGATTTAGAAATTGTGCGTACCGTTATGATAATCGTCTTAGATAATGTGTATACTGAAATCTTTTTAAACGCTGTACAGTTGGTTCATGGTTTTTAATTATATTTAATAATAAACTTGCAACGCTGAACCTTTTATTATTTTATCTTATGATCTTTGTGGTATATTATTTAGGTTAGTGTTAAGTAATCATACGTTTAAGCGTGTATATTTATATACAGGATGTTGTGTATAAGAGTAAAAAATTTTTCTTCGGATGAAGAACCCCAACATCAATCCCTTCGAGATAAAATGTAACTTTGCGAATGGTTCAACCATTATCGCCTAACGTGCTATAAATACGAATAAAAAAATTGATCGGGAAATATGTAAACTGATTAAGGAAATGTCAAGGAAAATATTGTAGTGAAAAAGTCATCGCCGATATTAATGAGAAATTACGACATAAATAACATTTTATTTCCTGTTTATAGAAGGTTTGAAATGTGTCTTACTCCTATTTGCATATAATGTTTACATTATAAATTGTAAATGATAAATTATAAACGTGTTCTTTAATAATTCTGCTGTATTCCTCATTGATTGATATATTTATTGTTTCGTGTCAATATTTTACGAGTACCGAAGACTTTTAAAGTCTTAAATCCTTTTTTTTAACATCCCGCGCAAAAAAGTGTATGCTAAGTATTTGCTCTGCCAAAAAATTCTACCAATTGTTCAAATCGGACAAATTGTGAATGTAAACAACTAAATAAAAAAAAGTATTTGCTCTAGGTACGGAACATGAAAATAATTTTTATCCACTTTTGATATCTTTCCATTTGTGATTTCCTTGAATTATAATCCACGCGTTTGGTTCGATAATTACAAGCGAAGATATTAATCGTAAATATTGCTTAAAACTGTTATCGAGCGGTCGTTTTATCGCTTCAGTCAAAATTAAATATAATAAAATTAGTCTTTATGTTTTTTTTAAACAATATGAATCATCTTTCGCCTTCGGAATATTTCGCGCGAATATTTCGTAGCATCAGTGTCTGTGAACATCAAAACAGCGGTGTGTTTTGTTTTCCTTATCCAGAAATCTGGCTTCGAACGAGCGCCAGGTAATATAAGGTAGCGGCTTAAGCCACCGAGGAATTTCAAATGGCCGAAACTCGGTCCGCTTTCAAGCGTAGGAGAATCCAGTATTTTCTTTCAGTTCCTTTTCTTCAGCTCACGCACAGGTCATGACGAGTTCAGATGTGTCCTGGCTCTTACCTTGCCACATGGCCACCCAACGTCTTCCAACGTTTTACCTTTACGAGTCTTCCTCGATTTATCGTCGTCAGCGCGCGAACCGTCGCGCCATTAATCTATTCGGTTTAGTCGCAGTTTTAACCAAGCCTCTACCACCTGTTGGAAGTCTTATTATTTTGCTATAGACTGTAGTCCCGCTACCTGTTGATAACGACATGCTACAAAGTTACTCGTTCGCTCTAATATCTGATGTAGAGATATCCTAAGGTTGAACGTATATATTATGCGTTATCGCGTCTATCGATGGAAAGAATTGGGAAAAATGCGCCGAATAGCGAAAGATATTTGCCAAGACGCAATTAAAAACCGCACAGGTCGTATTTTTCTTATTTTACAGAGGAATAAGTTTGAAATCAATTTTCATCAATCATTTTCATTCAATTTTCATTTTGTGTTAATAATGACTCCAT